TTGCCTCAATGTTCCAAAGTGCTAGAATTATAGAAGTATGCCACTGTGTCCAATATTTTTTATTTTAGTCATTGTTAAATGCCCAGCCTAATAGTATCTGGTACAAATCATGCTCTCAGTTAATATTGTTGAATGAGTTAATTTGGAAATCAGTGTATCCAAGATAAACTTTTTTTTGGAGGGGGGAGTACTGGGGATCAAACTCAGGTCCTTGCACTTGCAAGGCAGGCACAGTGCCACTGAGCTAAATCACTGGCTAAGACAAACTTCTTTGACAATGATATGGACACTGTGACATGCCTAAAGCTTCCATTTATATATTTGTAACCAGTGCATTTTATAAAGTGCAAAACATAACAAAAAGCATTTTGATGCACATTAACTATAGACCTCAACTTTAGAGTTTTTCTCAAAAATAACTATTAAATGAGATTTCTTTAGTTTCAACTCCTTACTGAAATCACTCTCATAAACACTTTTTAAAATGAAGTTAAAGCTATAAACTACATCAATAGAATAAGGAGCAACTTTAGCCATATTCTAAAGATAATTAACTATTTTACATTTGATAAATATAATTTCCATTAAAACATATTCAAAAGCTAAGTATTATATCAATATAGTTTACTTAAATATCTGATTACAAAGAAGAAAATGGGTTAATATCAAATTTGCATTTTAGTTTGGAAAAGACATAAGTAAAAGGAGGGAAAACGTTAATTCTAAACTGGGTGTGGTGGTGCACACCTATAATTCCAGTACATGGAAGGCTGAGTCAAGAGGATCACTGTGAGATTGAGGTCAGCCTAGACTACATAGTGAGTTCAAGGCTAATGAGACCCTTTTTCAAAACATGCCCCCCCCCAAATCAACCCAATTACTACTTCCTTCTTTAATTAACTAGACTGTAGCAATGACAGTGTGTCTAAAACAGTGGAGCTCTATCTTACCTTCTACCGTTGTAAAAACATTATAAATGGCCAGGAAGACAACCTGGCATGCAGATGTGTAGGGAAACCTAGAGCTGTGGTTATAACTCAGCATGATCATGCTGGCGTAGCACCATCTCATAAACCTTTCTGCAATAATGGAGATGTTCTATATTTGTGCTGTCCAGTAGGGAAGCTACCAGTTACATGTCACTATTGATCACCTGGATGTGGCTAGTATGACTAGTATGACATTTTATTTACAAGTAGCTAGTAGGTACTGCACTGAACAACATAGTTGTAGACTCACTCAGCTAGCTTGGTGGATCTCAGGAAGATTTGTGAAACAAAGTGTGTCTGTCCTTCTTGGGCTGTTAGCTTAAGCGAGAAAGAAATTTCTTACACCATATTGTGACATTGCATTTGGAAGGTTTCATCTTTGTTTATTACTTCATAATAATCAATGCAATGATTTGATAAAATATGTGAGATTACTAAAAATGAATATCTCTGGGTAGAGAAGTAGAACTGGTTAGAGAGACAGAAGTTGGGTTCTACTTTTTATATCTTTTTATTTTTTGACAAGTACTCTCCTTTTCATAAGAACCTTTTATACTATGGCTTAGTTTTTGCTTAGTAAAATAACAAAAGAAATCAACAGATAAAGAAATAAAAATACATTTCCTGCTTCTCAGTGTTTCTGTAATTTTCTGTATATAAATTTTAGGAAGCTAAATTAGCTACATGATGGTAGAAAAAGTAGTGCATTCACTCTAAGATAAAAATGAACTCTGCCATATATAATATATATTGTATATAATAATATAGCACACATATTTCTTGAAGACAATCTGAAATTTTTTATTCACTCTTCTGTACTGTCCAAAAAGACTGTTTTGCATATAATACATAAATATTATCTGAATGAATATCACATCAAAGCTGGGAAACATTAAAAATAAACATGCAAGAAATAATATTTTCATTCCTACAACTGCTCCAGTCAAGCCTGTTTCTTAAGGAAAGGACTCCACAGTACCTCTGTTATTTGTTCCATTTCTCAAGTCAGGCTGAGACGCTATCTGCTCCTTTACTCCACCTAACCGCTGTTGTAGTTCTTCTGATGTAATTTCTCCTGAAACAATGAAATATTGCTTACTTAAAAACTTGAAATTACTAAGTTTTATGAGAACTCATGAAGGTTAAGACTAATCTTTAACCAGCTATAAAAGAGTGTCAGTATTATCACAAAACAGTTAAAATTTTCAACTAACATAAATATACATCAATTTGGTTAAGTGCTTATTACTATTTTATTAAAATTTACTAAAATAAGAGTAAATTTGAATAACTGATAAAGCACTTTCAGTCCATACATACAAAATCTATGAGCTATTAATTTTGTGCATTGTCAGAGTTAAAAATATTAAGAAGGGAGTTTTTGTACAGAAAACTTCAAGTTTTGTTTACTTGAATTTTACCCCAATATTTCATTATATGGACCACCAACATATAAACATACAATATATAAAGATACAAGTTTCAGTTAATTTCATTTATAAAATGAATCTGTGAAAAAATTATGAGGCATATTGGACTTTGGGCATTATTAATCTAGCTGAATAAATACTTCAAATAGGTTATAACTAGGGCTTAAATATTTTTAAATATCACTTGAAGAGAACTAGGACTACATATGTATTTAATACTATTACATTTAATATATTTATATTTAGTACTAATATGCACATCAATCTGTTACTTTAGCATTTATATATCTAAGTCTTACCTATTTATAAAATACAGAAGTTTAAAAAAAGTAAAATAGAGAAGTAAGCCAGTGATTTTCTACTTTGTTATAGTAGCTTGTTTTTTATTAGTACGTATTTACAGTATGCAGTGATGACACTCATTGTCAGGAGTTGATACAAGTACATAATACATCCTAATACATTTTTTAATCTCCTTTCCCTTCCTTCTCCTGCTTATCTCCCTCCATCTCTTGGTGTCCTTCCCTTTAAACTCACAAAAATACATATTTTGAGAGAGGAAAGAGTAGAGGGAAAAGTCTCCTTGTTTTGAAATTCTTCCTCTTATCCAAAAAAAAAAGGTGTCTCCTCTTTTACCCATTTCTTACCAGGGGTGCCTAAAAGATTGTGGTCTCTCATCAGCCGATAATCTTCATCACTGAGCTCATTAATAAACTGATAATAGGCTTCTTCTCTAAGAAGGCGCTCTTGCTGCCATCTTCTCCCATTCTCATGATGATTATGGTCTTGAGATGAGGTTTCTCTATCTGATCTAGATCCAGACTGATTCATACTGAGGCTCCAAGATTCCTATTCAAACAGTGTATACAAAATTCAAAGAGTTAGTTACAGACTACATATGGCTTTGCATTTTTACTCATAGTTTTTTTTTTTTAAGTATTCCCTACTCAAATACTTAATTTGGCAAATCTTAGAGTGAGAAGTCTGCACATAAAATGAAAAGCAACTTCTAGGATGGAGAACACAATTGGACCTACCACTTTGCCTAAAGCCATTGTTTACAGACAATTTTAGTTGAGCACACATTTCTCACATCTGAATACCAAAATGATTTTTTTTAACTTCTTTAACTCTCTGGTAAAGTTGATTAAAAGCCCTCATTTGTTTTAAATATCTGACTACTTCATGTCAACAAATTTTAGACTTGAACTATGCATGTTCTTTACCTAATAAGCAAGGATAACTAGGAAAGTACAATTTACATTTTTTTTTTTTAGCAAGATATTCATTCTAAAATAAGGCTTATAAATACAGTAATACAAACTGCCTGCTGGGGATTTAGCTCAGTGGCACCATGACTGCCTTGCAAGCACAAGGTCCTGAGTTCAATCCCTGGTACCAAATAATATTAACAACAATAATAATACAAACTACCCCATTATACTTTGTTAAGGTTAAAATAATTAGGGCTGTTATATCTACCTTTGAGGTGTTTTCTCATTAAAACCTAACAGGAAGGCTTTGAAACCCAGTAGGGAACAATACTGCAGGCTCTGAGGATTGTGAGTGCACCAGAGTACTTCGTGCTTCATCATAATCAAGCCTTGTCCCTCAGGCTGGAATGGTTACTTCCAGGGGTCTCTGAGTGCCAGTGAAATTTTCTGACATCCTAAACAAACATTATTTTTGGATTACATTTAAATGTTATTCCTCAGGTGCTTACTTTTGAATTATAAGGAGCAAAGAAGAAAACTGTGTCATAAATATCTGTCATAAACAGATCAATTTAGTAAGTCACTGGTGAAAGAGGTGTCATACTCACTTGAAGAAAAAAAAAATTTTAATCCAGATATCCAGATCTCATCCCCAACTCTTGGATAGAATTTTCCAAGGTAGGTCCCTGTCTATCATTACTAGTTAATCTGTGTGATCTGTGGATCTAATAAACTATTCTTTGACGATTTCTCCCTTGTCACTATGTGGTATGTGTAGTAAAGCACCTGACTCAATAGAAGCTAGAGCTCAAATGACTTGGTTGCCAGGAAAGCAACTATTCCAACTCTGCCTCTAGAGTTTACAGTAAGAGTTTAATAAGCAAACTGCTGCTGGGTGAAGTTCACCCCAGAGTCTAAACTAGGAATAAGCAACTCTTCAAGTTCTCGTACAGTCTTACATTAAATAACAAATTCAAGATTTTTATGGTGTTACTGCATTATAACTTTGAAAGACCTAGTAACAGTATCCATTCAAATGCTAAGTGACATCATTACAAACTAAAGATTTTTCATTTCCAGAACAATCAAGATCATAAACAAGCAAGGAACATATTTGGTTAGCATAAGAGTTGGATGATTTTTGTATTAAACAGTTTCAAAAGTTGAAACCTAACACAAAATCTAGCTATCCTAATATTATTCAAAACTTATTCTTGTACATTTAACCATAATTAAAGTAAATGCCAAAGGCTGGGGATTTAGCTCAGTGGTGCTTCTGCTTGCCTCACAAGCGCAAGGTCCCGAGTTTGATCCCCGGTACCAAAAAGAAAAAGAAAAAAAAGTTAATACCGTATTTTCCTTTCAACATGCATTTAACAGATGGAATGGTACCCATTCTTCAGTTGCTTGTGCCTTTTTTGAGAGTTGCCCATCTGAAGCAATAAAGAGAGTTGAGTTATTCAATAAATTGTCTCAACACCAGGAACATCTGGTAGTCTCCCTACTCTGCTACAAAGCCAGTGAATTCTCCAGGGCGTTTTGTTACACACCTAGAAAAATATCCCCATACAATTAGGTAATGAAAATTTCCCTCAGGGCTTTTCTAGCACAGCAAATTCAGGCCTAGCCTCCGACGCTGTCATTGTTACTGGGATTACATACACCTCTTGTTCTCTCAAAGGCCTTCTTTCCTTCCACACTCCCATTCGTTTGCAGCTAGGGTTAGGTGACTCTAGTTTACTTCTAAACCTTCACTTTGTTGCCACCCCGCCCTCTGTCCAGCTAGCTGCGACGTAAGTTCCAGCTGGGAAATGATTTCCCACTACAATACACAAATTAAACTGAGAGCCCAATCAACCTCTTCTCGAAGTAGACTCGAGTAACGCTTTCCTTAACGACCCAGATTTCCACAGGGAAGCAAGTGACAGGGGGAACGTCTGAACCAATCACCAGCTAGCGGAGCTCATTAGCACACAAATTGGCCAATCGGAAGAGAGGCAGGACCCCCAAGATGGCCTGCTTTCCGTGGCGTCTCCCGGAAGTAGTGGGGATACCCGGAGCTTGATCCCCGAGCCCACCTCGTCTGGAAGCAGGCGGCCGCCTCGTCCCCAAAGAATCTTCAGTGGGCAGCTGTCCTCTCCGGTGCCAGAGCTGTCGCTGGGAGGCGATAGGGACTGCCTCCTCCGAAGGCCGCTGCGCCCTCTTATCGTCCACTCAGTAGATAAACCGGAAGTTTGTGCTGCACCTTGGGGTAGACCTGTCCGAGGGAAAGCTGTGGCAGAGCAGCAGTTGCGGAGGAGCACCTATTCTCTCAACTTTTCTCTCAGTCTCCCTTGTCCAGGCAGCTTGCTTGGCAGGAGGGAGACTGAGCAGCGGGAACGGGCGCTCGCGAGTGCATTTGGAAACTGCTTCCGGCAGGAGGCACGGTGTCAGCCTGCCACGTTCCGCCCTACTAGGGGCGCTGTCACAAAGCCACCTAGAGTCCAAATACTCTGCTGCTCCGAGAGCGTGGCAGCCGCGTGGTCAGCCTGCTCTCCACCCACCTTTGCGCTTTGGTGTGCTTGTTGGCCAAGCCTGGCGACAGTGCAACCCAGCAGCCTGTTCATCTCTTTTACAGTGTAACTTACAGCGCTGACCCTTATTACTTGCTGGGACCTGGAAATTACAAACCTAATAATTTCTAAAGTGCTTGTATTTGTATTTGTTTTGTTTCGGCTTTCCGGTAGAGAAAGTTGTTTAAAGCTTCACAACGTTCTTCTTTCTGGGTTTTTTGTTTTGTTGAGATGTGAGGCCTAATGCAGCTTGCCTTCATTAAGATTGTGACTTAAGTCTCTGCCCATCCTACATAGGCCCTCTCCTAACACCCCCACCATGGAAATGACCTAATCACTGGACAGTGCTCACACTGCTGTTTTACTCATCTTCCATTCCATTGTTCATGCTTGTGGTTTTTTGTTGTTGTTGTTATTTGTTTTGAGATACTGGGGCAATCTTGAACCCAGGATTTTTGCACTAACCGACATGTGTTTGCTTGTTTGAAAGAGACTCCCTTAGTCTCTGTTACTCAGGCAAGTATTGAATTTGCTACCCTCCCACATCAGCTTCCCAGAGTGCTTTATTTGCAGGTATTGTATTAATTTTTGAGGAGCTACTACATCCCCATCATTATGCTGAATGCCATGGGGAACAAACAAGAAGCAGGCTTTAGCATCAGTGTAAAAAAGTTAATATATGGGCTTTTTAAAAAAAATCAGCATATTGATACCAGCGTTAAAACAGAAATGTGTAAGTAAAGCAGTCTAAGATCTGTTAAACTCTCTGTTACATACCCCTTGCTGGTTGATCTTGTAATCTGCAGCTACTTAAAGTTCCTCGGTTTATGAAGTCCTAAACAACCCTGTCATGGTTAATGTAATTCTCAACTTGATTGGCTTTAAGAGATGCAAAGGAGACTAGTAAAGAACCCTTTTGAGTGTGTCTGGATGGGTCATGGGGACATGACCTTGGGTACTACATCTGGTCCCTGGCCCCTTCCTCGCTGACTCTTCCTCTGCTACCATAACTTAGGCAGCTTTTCTCTTCCAGGTCCTCTCATGATGTTTCTGCCTTGGAGCTAGCTGACCATGGTCTGAAATCCTTGAAACTGAGCCAGAACAAACCTTTTCTCCTTTAAATTGCGTGTATCAGGTATTTGTCCCCACAATGAAAAGCTGATTAATACAAGGATGATTAGTTAAATAAATATGTGACTAAAATTAGAAGTTTGTGAAAGGGTACTTCCAAAGGTCCACCAAAGTTTACTTATCATGAGAATAATAAGAGCTATAAAAATGTAAGAGCCTTGCTGGACATGGTGATGTACTCCTATAATCCCAGCACTCAGGAGGATGGGGCAGAAGATTTGCCATGAGTTTGAGGCAAGCCTGAGCTACATAGCAAGATCCTCTCTCCAAAAACCAAAACAAAACCTGAAGTATAACCAAAGCATTAAATTTGGAATCAATATATCTAATTTGTCCATTAGTCATCCTATTCCTTCCTACCCTCCCCCACCAAAACTCCTAGTAATTACTAATCTACATTTTATCTTCATCTATTTGCTTATCTGAATGTTGCAAACAAATAGAATTACGTACTATATGGTCTTTTGAATACTCTGGCCTACTCAATATTGCTTAGATCATGCAATGTTCATGTGACAAGTTTCTCCAGAGGTCCTTTTTTCTTCTTCATGCTGTGAATTGAACATTGGGCCTCCCATTTGGTCTACTACTGAGCTACATTCCCCAGTTAATTTTTATTTTGAGAAAGGTCTTGATGAGTTCAAGCTGGCCTTGAACTTGTGATCTTCCTCAGGATGTCAAGTAGCTGGGATTACATAGATTGTGCCACTGTGCCCAACCTCTTCTGAATTCCTGCTTTGTTTTGAGAGAAGCCTCAGTTTTGTAGTACAGGTTGGTCTTAAACTCACTGTGTACCCGTCTGGCCTCAAACTTGTGGCAATCCTCCTGTCTCCTCCTTCCAAGTACTAAAATTATAGGCATATGCCACCATGCCTGGCTTTCCAGAATTCTTATTAGCCACAATTTGGGGGAAGGTTTTATAAGAATAGGGTATGGGATGAGCTCTATTTCCCACTGCTGCAGCTGGTCCCAACATCAAAGCTGATATTCATTATCTCCACTATCCTTCCTAGATTTTCCTCCACTTCAACTAGCCCTTCTATACTTTCAGTGACTTAACTGATGTATTAAACTGGGCACTCATCCATAAGAGGCTTAAGACCCTGGTTATCATGCTCTTATTAAGCTGTGATTGCCGCACTTTACCTGTTTACATTTGAAACTTGGCTAGGGAATAACAAGGACTCTCAGTGAATCTCATGAGTACCCAGTATTTCTCCCTTCAGTATGTGGCAGCAGCCTCCACCTCCTTCTGAGAGTTTGCATGCTGATCTTTTAGGAGCCCAGTCACCAGACAGCAGCTACAACTATAATCTGTTACTATGTTCTCTGATGGATGTATCCCACATCTATTAGAACCTGTATAGCCTAGTAGGGCCTAAAATTGCAGGAAGGAAATAGATTCTCCAAATGTATCACTGGGGGAGATGGTAAGCAGGCCACTCCCACTTTTTTAAAACTCAATCCCAGTATCAGTGTAAACAGTTTGATAGCTTCCAAGTAATGTGGCATATCCAGTGGATCCTCTGATTGAGTGCCTTCTTTCTGGAAAGTGACTCTCTTGGGTCTGAGGCAGCAGGATGTGAGATCCTATGTCAGAAAATGAGTCATCCTCTGAATTTTTTGATAGTGATGCTGGGTGAAGCACTGTGGGCAGGAAAAGCAAACCCATATTTGTCGAACCCTGTCCTGATGAGGGATACTCTGCAGTCAGAAGGAGCTCAGTATAATTGAGCAGCTCTTTGGCTTTGTTGAAAGCCCATATGTTGGACTCTGTTGCCCACAGGTCAGTCAATAGCAACAGTACTATATCAGCCTGGATTGAGTACAAGCTGTTTGGCCCAGGCCCAGCCACATCTCCATCACCAGTGCTACTAAATTCATGAGCCCACTGTGCAAGAACCATAGACATAAAGGCTGCCTGATATCTGCTGGCCTAGTCATCCTATTTGGCTGGTTAACGCTGCATCTATAGTGGAAACTAATTGATATTATGTGCTACAAAAGATCCTCACACTGTATGCCCTCCCAAAGGTATGTCCACCTGTTTATTCTCCAGCCTTTTCCTATCTTTTTCTAGACTCCTGACCAACAAGCTAGATGGGCTGACACTTGTCATCATCCGTGAGTATACCCTTATCTTGGCCACTTCTATCTCCAAACAGTTGATGACTAAATGCACTGCCTGCAATCCTGCCAATTTGGAGGATTTCCCTCTGAATCTCAAGCTGACCTACGCATGAACCAAACATGATTTTTTTCTTTCTGCACACTGGTCACAGGGAACCACCTGTGAGACCAGAGCTTAGTTAAGGGAGAAGCATTGGAACAATAGTGCTTGATGACATGGGGGTTTCAGCTACCTGTTTGTAAAGCCACCTTACATGTGCTCTGATCCTGTTTGAACCTAATTGCAGACATATTGGATTCCTTACAGAAGATTGCTGTACATACCTGAACTTATGAACACATTTTGTGATCACTTAACACTGTATGGTCACTTGATGTCCCATGGTCAGATGCTCAGTGATTTAACCAGGGCCCAGTATCATGACTGGAGCTGTTATGTAGTTCTCTGCAGCAGATGGCCATGGCCTTGCTCCAGAATCCTGTGGTCTATGCCATGATTCGTCTACTGGGGCTTGCCAGAAGCACCACATGGCATGTTTATGCAGTATCATGGTTATCTGCTGACTCATATGGCCAGGAGACAGAGCTGCTTGTACCACAGGATGTACTTACTAGAGAGCTCTTTATCATTCTGGCCTCACCTAAAGGCTGGCAGCTTTCCAAGCCACCTGATAAATGTATTGCCAAGTACTGTGAATATGCTGCCTCCAAAACCCTAGGAACCCTACCAAACATTCTGCTTTTCTGGTGATAAAAATGCAAGTTACAAGAATTTGCCTTGCACTTTGGAGGGGATGTTCCAGAATGCTCAAGACCACTGGATCCTTAAAAACTTCACTGATAGGGCAAAGCCCCTAAATTTTGGTAACTTTATCTCCCACCCCCTAGAACAGATCTTACCAACATGTACAGAGCACTTGCTAGTTACCTAGAGACTAGTTAACACAGTGTCATCAATATAACAACTAATGCAGCATTCTTCTGGATGCCCAGGTTGTCTAAGTACCTTTGGACAATAAATGACAGAGAACAGAATAATTAATATTGCCATGGTGCAAGAGTATATTGTGTCCATGTGGGTACAAACAGCTTCTGATCCTTCTTCCTGGTGGATACAGAAAAGAACACATTGAAATCCCTCTTCCACACAGATTTGTCTATTTGAGAAATGTGAAGGTTTTGTCTTTTCTTTTCAGCTTTCAAATGCATAACGTTTAAGTGTATCATTTCACAATTTCTTAAACACATGTGTACTCCTATGGTACCACTGTCCCTATTGAGATACAGCATTTTCTGCATTATTGAAAGTTTCTCGTCTTGTTTCTGGCAAGTCAATATTCTCTAGTAGTAGTCACCATTATGAGATGTGATTATTTTTGCCTGCTTTTTTACCTCATAAAACTGAATTCTGTTGTGTCTGGCTTCTCTCATTCAACATCATGTCTGTTTTTTGTTCCTTTTCATTGGCATGTAGTATTCCACTGTGTTCCGTAATAGTTGTCTGATTCTACTGTTGATAGATATTGGGGTTGTTTTCTAAACATTTCTGGGCATGTGCTTTGTTTGAAAAGAAACACATTTTCAAATCAATAGGTATATGCAGTACCAAAGCTATAATATAACATACTCTAGTTAAGATATGGAATCTGGCAAAGCAACTATGATGGGGACAAATTTGGTTAAATTCATAGCAGTCTACTAATGTTCTACACTATGATCCACACAGTTTTGCAGAGATCAGACTGGAAAGCTATGTTATGATAAGAAGCATGAATACCTGCATTCTTTAAGTGACTGAGGATGGCTTTAATCTCCATTATCTTCTAGCCTGCATTACTATTTTTTATTTAATATTTTGATAGAGAGAGACAGTTTCAAGGATTACTACTTGGATTTTCCTACCACAATAACCCTTGTTCTACAGCCCAAGGAACCAATGTGAGAATTCTGCCACCTGATAAGTCTTTCCAATTTCCATGAAGGAACCAGGGAGATAATCACAGATTGGAGCCAAGGACTTGGTGAACCTGCGTTATATGAATCTGGGTCAGAACTCTAGTTAGTAGCTGGCTGTCATTCAGTTCCTGCTAATAATAATGCAGCTTCTCTTTCAGCTGATGAGTTTAGGAAATGACTCAGGTCTAGAAACTGGACAAGGGATCATGACTTTCCTTTAGGATGGCTGTCATTAGCCTTCTGCTAACCTATGATTAATTAGGAGTTATCTTTTACTGTATATACATTTAGCACAGTTCTTTCTGGCTGCTCATCTCTCTTATCCCTAGAAGAACCATATTCTATTAATCCTCTCCATATGTCCATAAAGGTTGGTCCTTCTGGTAGACACTCTGACTTATCTGTCCCTTAGAGCAATTAAGTGGTTCTCATAGTGAAGTACTTTCAATAGCTAAGTGCTATCACCCATGCTCATATCTCCTTTACTACTGGAAGCCTGACTGTGACAGCATCTGTTGTCATCAGCATTAGCTGCAGAGGGCAGTTTCTCAGTGACACTGATCCCCTTTTTGTCTGTGGATTTCTTGTTGCATTAGTTACCTTAAAACCTCTTGAGGAAAGTAACTTCTCATGAGTTTTGTGGTCATTTACAGTAAGTCCATTTTGACATGCCCTTGTCCCTGAGCTTTTTGATCCTGTTAGCTTTCTGTCACTATGACAACATACATCTGTAAGAAGAAAGAGATTTATTTTGGCTCACATTTTCAGAGGTGTTAGTCCATGGTAACTTGGCTCTGTTGCTGTTCCAGCACAACACATCCTGATAGAAACCTGTGGCAGAGGAAATTGCTCAACTCAGGCAGCCTGATAGCAAAGAGAGAGAAAGGAAGTGGCCAGGGTCCCAGTAGCCCCTTCTAGAGAGCAGTCTCATAACATAGCTTCCCTTTACTAGGTCCTACCTCCTGAAGTTTCCACCACATCCCAATAGCACTGCAGGCTGGTGACCAAGTTTTAGCACATTTAAAATACAAACCATAACAGAGCCCTTCCACACCCAGCCAGCATGAAAATTCTGACCTATTTCATTTAATGTAGGCTATCGTTTTTTCCAAATCCCAACAATTACGCAGCAGCATAATGAAAACAGTCCTGAAGCATTTTACATGGAAGTAACTCCTGTGTCATGGGAGCATGGGCCCATATTGGTAAGTTCTCCTTTAGCTACTCATGATGGTCCCACACCCTCATGGTTCCCTCCAAAATTTTCTCTGGTTTGGCTGGTGTAATTTATCCAAGTCCAATAATTTGGGCTTATAGACTCTTTCTACTCTTAGCATAGCAAGGACTACTCCAGTTAAGTCATGGTGAAATGCAACCCTCTACTTCAATCTTGGTCTCGTATCCAAAACTGGAAAATGGGAGGAGTGGAAGCATTGATTTATAAATGTCTTTTTCATTTGAGACTTTTGCCAAGGTATATTAGTCTTTTCACTACCATAAAATACCACAGGCTGACTAATTTTATAAATAAAAGGAGTACATTTGGGGGCTGAAAAGCAAGATTGGCCAAGGTCCCCATTTATTCTGGTGAGGGCCTGATGGCAAATGCTGTCATAATGGCAACAGTACCTGTGGGCAGAAGAGATCACATCTTGAAACAGAAAGCCAGACAGAGATTCAGGGTTCATACTTTGGTTCATGAGAACTCACTGCAGGAGCTCAGCATTCCCTCCTGAGGGCAGTACCTTCATTGATCTCTGGGCCTTTTGCTAGGTCCCATCTCTTAAGGGTCCCATCACTTCCCACACTGCCACACTGGAGACCAGTCTTGCAGCACATGAACACTTGGGGGACAAAATACAACTGAACCAGAGCACAAGACAAGGAGGACATTATCTTCTAGCCAAAGGAGAGGATCACTTCTGCAGGTCTATTGCTTCAGGGGTACATGGGGATTCAAAGGCTGCACCTACCCAGCAGTGGAATATTTTCACATTTCATAGCTGAAGGTTCTACTGCTTTCCTTATAAGGCTCTACCTTTAGTCCAGAAGATCTGCCTGAAGTGAGCTTTAAGTCTTTGCTGTAGATCTTCATTGCAGAGCAAGTTGAACTTTTGCCTGCTCTTCAGCTTCATCTGTTCTCCTGTAGCAGGTAATGAGTCTCTTTTGACTCCCACACTTCCCCTTTCATTCGTGATCAACTGACACAAACCTGAAATTTTCTCTCTTGAGAGCACCACAGATGCCTGGCAGTAGCCATCTATTTCTATGGTACCTTCAGTGACCACTCTGCAGTATCTCTCAAACACCAGCAACACTGCACCAGCCACTTCAGTCCCTTCCACCCAAAGCACATTTCAGCTTACCACAGGTGGAAATCGAACCCTTGGTAACCCACTGAAATGCTCATGGCCAATTGTCCAGCAGAGACTTCAACTCTAGAAGTCCATCCTGCCTCGTGGAATTCCTGTGGGAAACAAGGAACTTAGGTCAGACTCTGTAGAAATAATCTCATTCAATGATTCATTGATGGCAAAACCTTTCAGTGTGCGGGAGGAAAAACAAGATAGAGGCAAAACAAGATAGGTGAAAAAGAGTGCAAGAATTTACTAATGTCTAGCCTGAGCTTACGGGATTTATTTGGGGGGAACTTACTCTACTTCCTCTTGCCTGACTAAACCTTTTGGAAATCTCTTGTTTTGGAGCCATCTCTCCCAGATGAGCCTTGGATATATTTTCCTTCTACATTTATGTGATTTTATAGTAATCTGTGTCTTTCACTTATAACACATAATTGTTTCTCTACTTTCTACTTATTTAAAGGGAAGAAAAGAGTTTTCCAGGGGAGTGATATTGGGAAAGGCTGGAACCTTTGAGAGTTGGGCCCTTTTGGGAAGTCCTTGAGTCAAAAGTGGCTTCCCTTAGGTCCTCAAAGAGGACAGTGGGATCCCTTTTCCTCTGACTTCCTGGCTCATGAGGTAAGTGATACTGCTCCATCACATGCTCCATTACATACCATGATATGCTGCCTCAATGCAGCTGAAAAGCAGTGGGGTCAACTGATCATGGACTGGAATCTTCACATTGTGAGCCAAAATAACTCCTTTCTCTCCATAAATTATTTCAAGTATTTTGTCACTGTCACAGAAAATTAAAACACACAGAGAAACAGAAAGGAAACTGGCTGTATCAGAAAGAGTCAAGTGATGGGATGGCCTTGATTATAACAGCGTGCTCTCCTAAGAACTAAGCTACTCTGTGGACCAGCATGTATCCTTTCCAAGGGAGAGTGGTGACATAATTACCTTCCCCTAGGGCCACATTGGGGACAAGCCTCTAGCAAATGAAGCTTTGAGGGCCTCACTTATGCCATATTCAAGCCATAGCAGTTGGTTAAACATTCACATTCACCTTCCATCAAGGCAGAATCTTAGACAAGGATTCATGTGAAAACAATTCAGGAAGTGTTACTTGAAGAAACAGGTAAGGGAGTAAGGGAGTAGAACTGAGAAGGAAAGGAAGCTGAGCCAAGGCACAATCTCCATTTTGACTCAAATTCAGAGGGGCGACAGGAGACAATGTTGTCCTTTTCAGGGGCTATGAGAGCTAGAATATTAGTTCTTGAACCCACATTCATTGAGATGGGTGTTCCTGGAGATTTAATATATAAAAAGTAAAGTATGTTCCATGAGTTCAGGGCAGTCCCAAAAAGAAATGTGAGGCAGTAAATCAAAACACTGATGACATCTACCACATCAGCATCAGCACCACTCTCTTATAAGACACACAAATCCATGTTGTATGAACGGCACTGGAATGGGTTCTGGAGATTTAAGAGCTTTGAAATACAGTTCCTGCCTTCTATACCTTAGAATCCTTTTTAAGAGACAGGCTCAACACATGAAAGTGAAAGAAGTATATGCTAAGTGCCAAATGAATGTAAATAAGGTAGGTTTTAGAGGAGTGCATTGACATTAGATAATCAGGAAAGATTCTGACAGTACCTGAGTTGGCTCTCAAATATAGTTAGGATTTAGATAAATAAGAAAAGTGGAATGTTGATGAGGAAAACAGTGAAATGATGAATACTATAGGGAAAATCAATGAACTTGTTTGACTGTAGTGGTTCTCAATTCTGAATGCACATCGGAAGAACAGCTTTCCCTCTGCCCCAATGAATACTTTATCCAAATGGCATTGCACCTCCACATTTTGTGCACCATCCTAGCTCTTTTCAGGCTCCAGTTCTGTATAGTTTACCCTGGCTCTTCCTGCCATCCCTGGCCAAGACCCTCCTCTCTTCTGGGGTGGGCCATGAACTCCCAGGAGAGATAAGATGGGAGCCAGGGCTGAGAAGAGGAAGCTCTTCCAGGGCTTGGAGATGTGTATGCTGGTCAGACCGACAAAAGGCTCCTGTCTCACTCTGTTAAGTGCCCTGTTCTTGAGCCAACAGATGAGAAAAGAAAATGAAGGAGGCAACAGTCATTTCCACTCCACCTCCGCTACTTTATGCTGTAGCCTTTCCCTCCTTGGGGAGAGGGATCTTGCCCTTTTTTCTCTTCTTTTTCATTCACAGTTAAAATGAACAGAGTTGCAGCTTCTCTGTAGCAGCAGGTCCCAAGATTTCTTTCCCTCTTTCTCAGAAATAGTCAAAAGAAAGTTGAAGATGAGGCAGCGTCTCCAAAACTGTATTCCTTTGGAAACAACATCGTAAGATAGATGCTACGAACCTGAGGCAATCTGGACAGTTAGGGACAGTGATCTGCTGCTGCTGGTTTGTCCCTTCTCAGGAGAGTTCTTTCTCAGTTTTAAGGAATTTTGTTGTGAACCATTTGATAAAAATAACATTATAAAAAATTAAATTACATAAGATTACAAATTATGTTAAAAACAAGGATAATAAAGACAAAGACATAACCTCACACCTATTAGAATGACTGTTATTGAAAGATGCAACAAGTGTAAATGAAAGTATGGAGAAAATGGAACCCTTGTACAGAGTGGGTGGGAATCTAAATTGGCAAATCCATTACGGAAACAGCATGGAAGTGCCTCAAGAAAATCAAGATAAAATTACCATGTGATCCAGCAGTCCCATTTCTTAGTACACATCCAAAAGAAATGATATCTGTGTGTTATATCCTGTGTTTAGATGTCCCCCAAAGCCTCATGTGGTCATAAGTGGGGCTTTTTCAAAGGTGGCTGGATCTAGAGTGTATGGTGTTAGAATTGATTCATGGTCCAATGCTAGACTCAAGGGTGCTAGGATTAAGGGTGTGAGTGCTAACTGCCCTAAATAAAAGAGCAGAAAGACACTGTTGAAGTCCCTTGCTTGCTTTTGCTGTATTCTGATTGCCATGAACTTCTATTCTGCAATGCCCCTTTGCCATGCCACCCTGCCTTGTAATTCAGCCAATTATGGACTGAAACCTCTACAAACTGTGAGCTAAATAAACCTTTCTTCCCTTAACTTGTGTGTGTTGGGTATTTTGTCTCAGCAACAAGAGGAAAGTAACTAAGACACAGTGTCATGAAGTGATATCTGTATCTCCATATTCATTGCAGCATTATTCACATATAGCAAATATGTGGGAAAATATGTATGAATATGTGTATATACATATATATATATACACACATATATATAAATGGTATATTATTCATCCATATAACTGAAGGAGATCCTGCCATTTGTGACATGGATAAACCCGGTAGACATTATATTAAGTGAAATAAGCCAGATGTAGAAGGACAAATACTCTTTGATCTCACATATATGTGGAATCTAAAAATAAAGTCCAATTTATAGAAACGGAGTACAGAAAGGTAGTTACTAGGGATGAAGGGTGAGAGAAATGAATAAATATTAATTAAAGGATGCAAACTAAATTAGAAGATGAACAATTCTGAATGTCTAAAGTAAGCAGGGGTATTATGGATGTGTTGACTTTTTTGTATTAATCATTACAGTGTGTATATATATATATCAAATATTTTACAATTTTAAAATAATAAGGAAGAAAGAATTGCTAGGATGATTCCTCACAAAACTCCAATGTACACCTAATTAGAAAATCACTCTTACTGAATGGAAAGCTGTTTATGAGAAACTGGTTAGAAACGATATTGGAGATATAAAAGAGCTCGTGTTGTGAAAAAGCTGTAGGGCTGGGGATTTAGCTCAGCGGTTCGGTGGCCTGCCTCGCAAGCGCAAGGACCTGAGTTCGATCCCCAGTAGGTTCAGTGGCCTGCCTCGCAAGCACAAGGACCTGAGTTCAATCCCCAGTACCACACACACACAAAAAAGCTGTGTACAGCTGATTATTTTAATCTCATTTAACATTTGTACTACAAACTGCCTTAAGTATTTCTATGAGTTGGGCTTAAGTAAATACAGGTCCTGAATATTAGATGAAGGAATTTGAACTTGATGCTGTACACAGTAGAAGGTCATGCGGGGTCATTGAAGAGTTGTGAGTAGAGAAATGATGTAAGTGAAACACCATTTTAAAATTTAAATAAGATGTATGGTTTCAGAGCAAGAAGGACAATATCTGATAGAACTTGACTTTGGCTGGTGGGGGGAAAAGTACTAAGAGGGAAAGAGTTCCAGAAGTTCTGGCCATGTTGTTGCATGGAAACAAATAGCCCTGGGTATCTGGTATCAGATGGTTGGAGAGGTGACCTAACCATGTTTGTGTGCAATAGGAAGAGAGCTACGTAGCATATAGAAGAAACACATGCTTGTACTATAACCAGGCAGAAAAGATTTGGCTTTCCTGGGCCTGACTAACACAGATGCAAAGTGAAACATACAGGAACCAGTAGTCAGAGTAACATATTAAACCTTGAAAAACTAAACATGAAACTAAACTGTGTTCCAATATATCATCCATTACCCTTTTTGTTGCAAAATATGTTTGGCCTGAAAAACCAAAAGTAATATGGTTACTTTAAAAAGATGTTTACTAGTGAGAAAAAAGGACATGATTATAATACTATCAATTCAAGAGAAAACTTCTTAATACTTACAGACCATGAGAGCAGAATTCGACAATACATTTAAGAGATTTCTTATTAGAAATGCTTTTAATAAGTATAGTGGTGGGAGGGAATCTCTTAGTTAAGACAAAGAAAAAAACCTTTAAACCTGTTAGTGGCATTACTGTTTCAGCTATCCTTGCTTAGTACTCATATAATGAAATTGTCTTGCTGTGGATATTAAAGAAACAAGCACTTTTGAATTATCTTGCCAAAAATTAAATGAAAAATTTCAAGCTGGTGTTATAATGTAAAAGGGGAAATCCTGTCCTCATGTCATTCCTTACCCCGCTTAAATATCATGGTCTATCATTTTTATTAGTCTCTTGCCAACAATCCTAACCTCCTTTGCTCCTTTTCTTTTCATCATATCCAGCTGGCAAGGCCTCAACCCTGGATGAATCCAACATTTGTCTTTGCCCAGCC